AGCAGCAGCTGGAGCTGTCTGCAATGGAAGATTCTTCATGGCTGCTCTGGAGAGTGTGGTCACTGTCTCAGCCCGCCACAGGTCAAGAGCTTTTTCTCTCTTTACTCGGCAGTCTCTGGTGAATTCAGTCACAGCAAAAACTGCAGCTGAGCCAGGAACCGGCCAGGCCCGGCCAGAGCCCAGGGCAAGCCCCGCAGGCCCCATCTCCCGGCCTGGAGCCGCTGGGCCCAGCCCAGCCCCTGCCCGGGCCGCATGGGCTGGGCCGGGGACGGGAAGCCAGCTGGAGCTCTGTTACCTTTCACAGCCAGGAAACAAAGAAATTCCCAGGCTTAGGTCTTAAGGTGGTGTTCACAGGTTGATCTCACTTTTCAATGGTTAAAACTGCTGTCAATTCTTAGAAATGGCCAGCTGTTGGCTAGGAGACAAACTCCCACCAGCCTCCAGCGGTTTTAACTTCCTTAGGTGTTTCTCTTTGTTTTCTTAAATGCCAGTCTATCACAGGCTGCTTGAGGCAAAGAAAAAACTTCTGTTTCCAGGGAGGCTCACAGAAACAGATGAAGAAAACTTCTGCCTTTGAATAACTCATCCTTAAAAATGACATCCCTAGACTCATGGACCCATACACACCTCAGAGTGATGTGAAATGGGAGGAGAAAATCTGATGGCAGATTTCTGGGCAGCTGGCATCAGAGAAATAGAAAACTATAACAGAAATAGTTTTCTCGTGAGAAACTCCATAGATTAGCAGAAGAAGACTTCTGTTTCTCTACAGAGACTGATGAAAAGATTCTAGCAGGAATTGGGGACTGTTTAAACACCAAAGTTCCAAAGTTTTTTGTCTCTATGTTGTCATGTAAACAAGGGAATGGTTGGGTAGTGGGAGAAAAAAAGGAGTTTTCTGGAAGTTTTATTTTAGTTTTTTTATTCTTGTACTTTTGTTAATAAACTTTCTTTATTCCTTTTAAGTTTTACCCCTGTTTTGCTCTTGTTCTAATCCATATCTCACAGCAAGAAATAAGTAAGTTTTCTAGTAATTTTTTAGTTACTGCTTTAAAACCACGACAATGGCATTAACATTAAAAATTATATTCTTGCATACATAACACAGAACTTTATCAAATAACCACGACAATGGCATTAACATTAAAAATTATATTCTTGCATACATAACACAGAACTTTATCAAATACTAAAATGTATTGAAAATCTATTAGGTAATTGCTGTTATGTGTTCTGTGAATACAGCAAATTACCATACTCTACTGTTGCTAAAATATAATTTTAATGTATCCAGTTTCTAGAGTGTATATAGTACAAGAACAAATATATGCAAAGGTCTGGTTTCACTTCTAACTTCTTCCAAATAGTTGTGTCTAGTCTGCTGCATTTATTTTAGTATTTTGATTCTGGTTTATGATATGGATTAAGACAATGACAAAATTCTTGGTCTTTTCAGCTACATACTGAAAAATTACATACATAAGAAATTAAAAGCCTTACCTGAATGAATTTCCTCTCAGAGACAAATTATAGTAAACACGTGCCTATCTTTGGTACAACAGTAGTTTCTGTCTGAGCATTCCTGCACAGTGTTGAAATGTTTTTGGTAGATCTTCAAGCATTTCCCATCTGAGGCTTTTTTCCTCCATAGTAATCCTGCAGAAAGATAAACCTGAAAACTTGTTGGTAACACATTCAAACAAGTCACATCTAGGTATATAACAGCGAGAGAATGAAGAAAAAATTTTGGGTGGTCTAACAAGCATTGAAAAGAAACAAATTCTTTTTCTAACACAGTAGGCCCACAAAAGCTAAACTGACTGAAGAACACTGGGTTTTCTTACCAAGGCAGAGCAAGATGTTACCACCTGTCTAGAGGATATTCATAATAATCCCTTAAAAAGTACTGGAAAACAACTTTTTTTTTTTTTTTAATTAAAAATACAGTCACACTGTTAAATTATCACATTGGCCATATTCACTGTTTTTCAAGTATTACTGTTGGAGGGTAATTTTCTCACAAATGGGATGGGACCACCGGCTGAAGCTTTTATTTCAGGCACCAGTCTCAGCTACAGACACAGGAGATGGCACAAGCTCACGTCTACCACAAGCAGCTCCAAAATCTCTTTGTTACAGAACATTTTATAAGTTTTTCACGCAATAGCATATTGCTAAAACTTACAGACAGTTGTTCTAGCCAAACATTAAAAGCACATGTACACCTCCAAACAATGCTTGTTTGCTTTCTATTAACAGTTTGTTATATTCTATTACTAAGCTTAAAACCTTCTACTATTTTGTAAGCTTGTTTTTCTGCAGTCTTAAGGTCCAGCTTAGCCAAGCCTAACAACTCAACTATTGTTTCATGTCCTTGCATATTGTACCTTCTTTACTTTTAGGCTTTGCAGCTGCAGCTAGCTCTAAGTTCTCTGCTTTTTCTCTCATGAGGCCTATTTTCACAGCTTCTGAAAGTCCTCTTACCTTTACTGTTTCCCACATATTATGTTCAAATGACATTTTTCAGAGCATATACAAAGAAATATTCAGAATGCCTAAGTACCTTCCCCTGCCTTGGCACAGATTCTCTTCAGAAGCAGCCAGGACTGGGAGATACTGGAATTGCTCACCAGAGAGTATTGCCATGTCGCTGTCACAAAAAGTCAATCTCAGACAACTTCCTGTGCCCAAACCTCACCTTAAGAGCTTACCATGTGTTTTATATAAACCAAAAATACTTTATTACTGGATTATTATTTTATTACCAAAAATATTTGTTTACTGGAATTGTTTTGAAACACAAAATGGAATAAAATTCCTAAGTGCCTAAACATCTTAGGCATTAATTTGAATAGTTTTGCATGGCACATATCTCAGTTCTTTAGAGTACAGCTGAAAGAAACCATATAATAATTTTCTTAGAGAAGGGGAATGGAACCAGGTTTTTTCCTCATTTATTCCTATCAATGGAATATTGAGCACAAGAACGTAGTGTATAAAATATATTGATCTTGGACATGAAAATGTTGGAAAGACAGGCATACATTAAAGGTGGCTGTGGGTTAAACTTGATGAACTACATCTGCAAGCCTTCCCCCCTCAGCATTTTCTCTAGTCTGGGTAAGAGGGGGAGGTGCATACAGTGTTCCAGGAATGACCAGAGGATATCAGGAAGCACAGTAGTGCTAAGACAATTTAAAAAAAAAATAAATTGGATTCCAGCTTTTGAGGTCACTTTATCTGGCAGTAGTGCAGTAGGATTCCTGAGGGTGCTATCCTACTGTAAAACCAACTTAGAGCCGCCCATTTGCTATTGAAGAGCAGCTCAAGCAGGACATAGCCCTTGTTGCTGAGATGCACCCAAAAGGGTGGGTTTAGCTTTGTTAGTGAAGCTTGTTTTCCACTGCGTTATCTGCTTGCTTGAACATCATTTCCCCGTAGTTATCGATTTCCTGCTTGTGCATGAAATTCATGTGTCAATTCACTTCCTGACTCCCTAAGCTTATTTTCCTTTTCTTAAAACCAAAAGCCAGTGAAAATCGAACTGTTCTGCAGCTGCTGAATTATTCTCTACATCATGTCTTTACCAATGCTGAGGGGCTGCATCGTGCAGCTGCTTATAGGAACTGCACTTGAGATCATCCCACTGAGTGGATGGCGAGGGACGCTGTGTAAGTCCCTGGGTATTAACACCGTGGGAAGAGGGAAGATCTTTCAATTCCAGTCTTTCTTAAAAAGATGTAGTATATAAAATGTTCCAGTTACATAAAGGGAGGACAACAGGGGCTGCAGCAGAAGAGGAGCTGTGTGAGTCAGAAAAGGAAAAGAAAGACGTGCTGTGGTGGCTAAGGATCGACCCCCAGCCCCTCTCGTGGCAGGTCTAGTGCCTGCTGGAGCCTCTGTCTCATCTGAGATGCCACCTCAGCAGCCCAAGCCCGCCCAGCTCCAGCATCCGCCACCACCACGTCCTGCTCCGCTACCCCTCAGAGGAAAGGGGCTGGAGAGCTGCGGACCCGCTCTGGGCCACGTCCCTCCTCGCTACCTGCATCGGGGCTCGGCTGGGCTCGGCTGGGCTCGCCTTGCTTCGGCTCAGTTCGGCTCCATTCGGCTGGGCTAGCCTTGTTTCGGCTCCATTCGGCCCGGTTTGATTCCATTCGGCTCCCTTTGGCTCCATTGGGCTGGGCTCGCCTTGCTTCGGCTCAGTTCGGCTCGGTTCGGCTCCATTGGGCTGGGCTCGCCTTGCTTCGGCTCCGTTCGGCTCGGTTATGCTGGGCTCGGCTGAGCGCCACTCGGCTCCGCTCAGTCGGCAGCCCCGGCCCGGTGGACGCGGAGCGGAGGGGGGTCGGTAGGCGCCGGAGTTGTCCGGAGACCTTTCAGGCCGCCCCCGACTCTGGGAAGGCGGCGCCATCTCGCGTCTGGCAGGGCAGACGCTGGGCCGGCGTCCGCAACGGGGCCCGGCCTTGCTCCAGCGGGCCTGGGCTCTCCGCCCCATCTCGGGGGCAGCCGGGCACTGCTCGCCGCTGGTGCCGGCGGCGGCGGCTGAGGGGCAGCGGGGACGTGCGGGGGGGGCGGGGAGCAACGAGCTCTTGCGGGCCGGACTCGCGGGGATTCCCGGATCCGCGGCAGCCGGGGCTCCCCCTCAGGGGGTCGCGGGCCCCATGAGGCTCTGCGGAGGGGGCTGGGGGTTGCCGGCCCCGGGGCGGGAGGCCACTAAAGCTCCAGGGACCTCGGCAGAAACAGGTGCAGGGCAGCACAGCTGAAGACGGGGTGACCGTCTGCTCTAGGTCTGTCCTCGGATCCTGCTCAAAAATAGGCGCTATTGAAACGGACACTCCGATCAGCCTTTTGCTGACTGGTAGGAGAGTTCTCTCTGCTGATGTCCCCTGGAGAAAAAAACCTGCATGTAATCTTTTCGTATGACAGAACGAGATGTGGTGAGGGGGGTTAGGACTTAACCTTTGACTCTCCTGCTTTGCTAGTCTGGCGTTCGGGGAGAGAGATGTCGTTGAAACCATTCACCTATCCATTGCCTGAAACAAGGTTTCTTCATGCTGGCAGGCATGTGTACAAGTTTAAAATCCGGTATGGCAACTTCAACAGGTACGTGTGTTAAAGCCAAGAAGTCAGCCTGCTGTCTGTTGACTGCATGTGGTAGTGAGTTAATACAAGACCTTAAAACACAGAATACAAGTGGGTAGAAAGTTTGCACAGAGCAATCCTTGGAATAAGGGATGTTTTTTTAAGAGTAATAAATGAGGAATTAATCTGCCTGTTAAGTATTTTTTCCTGTTCAGTGGGAATTATGTTTTGTTGCTGTTTAAACTCTTACATGAAATGTAGCTTTGTTGCATTTTGACTGGGATGGTTCCAGCTCTCTCTTTGTTTCACAGTTCTCCCAATCTCAGTCTCACTGAAAGTGCTGCCAAGGAGTCAGAGGTAGGAGCTGAGGCAGGTCCATAGGACCTCAGATGGGTGTTAGGTGAGCAAATGCTTGTTATGGCACTGACAGTATTTTGTCAAATGCAGCATTTCAGGTGTGAATAATGGGGAACTTCCTGGAGAGTCTGAGTGTGGAAAAAAAAAAAATTACATTAATGAAAAATATTCCTCAACAGACAAAATTTAGTGTAGAAGAGTCATGCTTTTGTTTGAAATATTCCAAAGAAGCTACTGACTCTTAAAATTGGACAAATGGAAACTGCTGTTTCCATGTTTCAACATTTCCTGTTGAGTTAGTGACAGTTTCTATCTGATTCCTCTTCAGAGTGATTCTTGCAGGAGCTCTTTCTCAGGATTTTAGTCTCAACCTCAAAACTGACCATCAATTTCAAGTTGTCAGGCTTGACTGGCTGTTAATACCCCTTGGTTTTTCAGGAGCTGTGGCAATACTGGTGGGCTGGCTTGATGGAGGCTAATCTAATGCTAAATTGCATGTGTTTTCCTTGCAGCTGTGGAACCCATGGGTGTTCTTTTAAGGATGCCATTGCTTTGTGTCCAAATTTTGGACACAAATTGATGGTCACAATTGATGAGTTGTGTTATTATCTTCTTCCTGAGACATAAGAAGGACTCTGCCATTACTAAGAAATTGAGACAAATATATTGCCTGCTTAAAAATGTTCCTTCCTATTAATTTCTAAAGATATTCAGAATATAGTAATTGCATTAAAAACCTTACTGAAGAAAATGTGCTGATTTTAATTGATAGGAAGAATTACATTTCTTTTTTTTTCACTTTTGAAAATATTAAAAGGTATTACAAGAAAAAGTTTTGTGTTTGTAGAGGAGGAGCTTGTTGGGGCTTAACTGCAGTTTCCTTGTAACTGATTTGGGTCAATATTCAGAGAAAGAAGAGTAGGTAAATGCTATGTGTGTTTTGCTGGAAAAATGAAATGACACTCCTTAAATTTAAAGCTTCTTAAATATAATTTTCCTCATTTTTCCATAGTAATTCTTCTATTAATTCTAGATTAAGATACTCATTCACCTAAATTTCTATGAGTCTGTCAGTGCAGTGCACTCTAAAATGGCAGGAGGGAGTGGGGAGGAGAAGGGGAGAAGGAAAAGCAGAGTATATAGAACCTGGTCTTCCATAATTCAAACCTGGTCTTCCATAATTCACAGAAACGGTAAAGTAATGTTAATTTTTTCCCCAAGCCTTGAAAGTGTACTTGACAGTGGAATTGTGATGATGTTTTTAATATTTCTCCTTTGTTTATTTTTTTGGCCTCTCCAGGAAGTTTTTCGAGTAATCCTTGGAAATCTTGATGATTTACATCCATTTTCTACAGACCACTTCACTGTCTTTCCATGTATCCTTTCTTCCCTACTCGTAGAAGATTCAATGACTTGTATCTTGTCTCCTTTGGGACCAGTCAGCAGATCTTTTCCATCTTCCCTAAAGTTTGCAGAGGCATTGGGCTGCTGTCCACAGACAGTACTGTAAAAGCTCTGTGCAGTTGCACAGCATGGTCATAGAGAAGCTGATACTATACATGAATATTGGCATGCACAGCTTTTGAGGAGTGTGGTTTCCTGGGATTTCACTTTTGATACAGAAGTGCTGTGGCATTTGAGATTGGATTATTCTAGCTAGCAGCTGTACTGCAGGCTCCTCTGCTTTCTAGGTGTTTTTTCATCAGAATGCACGGACTGGCCTTCGTTTTTGTCTTCTGGCTTGTGCAACTGGACAGAATTTAGTCGTGTCTGCTACATATTCTGCAGATTGTTAATTTAAAACAACAGTAATTTGAAAAAAGAGATGACTTCATATTTCTGTTGTAGTTGCTGTTGTGTAATGGGTTAAGAAGTTACTCTCCTGAGGCTTTTATTGAAGAGAAAAGTAATTCAGTTAAATGTTAGCATTTTCCATCTTAAAGGTGTGTCAGCTTTTGGATCAGATCTGGCATCACCTCCTGTGATTCTGAGTGCCCAGGAGTCATGAAGAGCTCCAAGGCATTCCCCTCCTGTCTTTGAAGACTGCATTATGCCTCCTAATAGCAGACAGGAATGAGGCCATCCTCTTTCTCTGTTTGAAGCAGGTACATACGACAGCAACCTATTCCTGTTAGAGGCAGGAAGATAATGTAGCCAAGAGCATCATTATACAGGAGGCAGCCAACCCAGCCATTATTGGTTTGCTTCTCTAAGCTCAGCCAGTTCTGCCTGTGTGTTGAGGAGTGTTTGGTTCACAAACTTGTATTTCTAGAGCTTGTAAGTCCATCCACATGCTCAGGCAGCACTGGGCCTGGAAGAGAACTGTGAGCTCAGAGGCCTGGCATGAGTTGTCTTTCAGTTGGTGTGTCAGGCTCCTCTCTGTAGAGCGACTCTGTTAATCACCAGCTATGAGTCCTTCAAGCCAAAATCCAGGCAATTTCAGTCCTTAAAGGAACTGATTGTATCAATGTTTCATCATTGTCTGTCCCTGGGATGTTAGTTTCTGCTAGCAAATGTGGACTGACAGTATACATTTCACCTTTTTCTCCCTGAGATCAGAGGTGTGTGAAGAGACATGTCCAGCACCAGTTGTTCTTCCAAGCAGAAGCTCCTGGATGTCAGACCTGCACTCACATGAAGGAAAGGCTATAACTGTGGTGGCTGTCATGTAAATTATCTTTTTCCTCCTGTTTTGAACTGTGAAGTAATGATGCTGCTTCTATGAATCCAAATCTTTTTCAATTTTTAAATAAAATTTTAAATAAAATTTTAAAATAATTCCTTTTTAATTAGGAAGACTGCTGAGGGGGTTTTTTTATTCATAGGTTTAGAAGAGCCTGGCATGGTTTTTTGCAGGAGGGTGCCAATACTAAAGGCAGACACAGTTAAGGGAACAGAACACTCTTAATACAGGTGACTGACGGGGCAGTGTGGATAAGTAAACCTGGATAAGTGTTTCCTGTAGTGCGTTACACAAGTTAATAGTAGCTGGTTGTATTTGCTCCTTTGTGCACATGTGCAGTGTGCTGTGTCTTTTGAAGCTTTAGGAGATATCTTCAGGACTCGTATTCCTTTGAAATGTTAGTGTTGTGTTTTTAAGTCTTACCATTCTTCTCAGATTTGAGTAAATGGGAGCGAGTATCAAAGATGAAATTCAAACATGAGAATGTCCATCTTGTGCCTTATCCCTACATTTGTAAGTTGTACCTAGAATTGAACTCATTTCAGCGAAGTATATCTTGTGGTAAGTCACTGTGATTGTGTTTGGGTAATTTTGGGAAACATCTATGATCTATGTCTTGCTTTTCTCTTTTCCTTCTCCTACTGTATCTGAATCAGAGAAAGCAAAACTGCATGTGGGATAACTGTACCATGAGTCTGAAATAGAGCATAACAGGGTGTTCTTTGTTGTCTCATATTGCTTTTCTAAAATTCCCTGAATTTCCTGTTGTCTTTCCAACCACAGCTGACTCTTTAGTTGGTATTTTTATGAAGCAGTGCCCATTGGCTCCCAACCTTCATTTTTAATGTCAGTCATTGGGCTGGAGCCAGCACATGCATGTATATGGGACACCTTTTTCTTCCTTGTGCTTTACTATGTTTGTTGACAGAGAACATCCCACTCTTTGTTGCTATTTTACTAAAGAAAGAATGGATTTCTGTAAAAAAATAATGATAGTGATCATGGTAGTAGCCTCTTTTATATAATTAGCAAACATTTTCACCTCAACAGTGTCTTGTTTTCCAGGTTTTCTGTGAATTCTCTGAACAACCTCAGGCTGCAATTAAGGCCTCTGTGGGACTCTACATTTAAACTTCTTTTGTGAAAACTGAGTATTCTTACTATTTCCTGTTCTGATTATCAAGCTCTGAAAAAAGTTACTGGTTTTTTTTTCTTTTAATGACTGCTTAGCTGATAATGTGATCTTTATAAAATGACCAAGAGAAAGAAGAAGTCTAAGAAACTAATAATTTCTTAGACTATCAAACATCCCATGTTTGGATGTAAAAGTTTCTAGCCATGGAGAGTTCACTAACTTCCCTCTACACCTGTTCCAGTATTTAATTGCCCTATCCAGATAGTTGTAGTGCATTACTGTTCTAAAATTAGGATCAGTATAAGGCTCTGTTCCTTTCAGACTTGATGTTTCAAATTTCTGTTGGTGGGGATTTGTTTTCAGGGAAATACATGTGAACCCCATACATCCTACAGCTGGCCAGTATTCTCTAGGGGCTGTGTTCCAGATGTCCTTGCATCTTCCATCTGGTGCCCAAAGCACAGTGAGATGCTAACTGTTCTTCAGGCCCTTGTCTTCTGAAGACACCTTTGACTTCTTGAAGACAAGCAATTGTCACATCCCATTGATATCTGGTGTTCATAGCCAGGAATTCTGGTTCAGGAAGAGCTGTATTTGAACATTTTCAATTTCAGTGTATCTTGTGCAGGTCCAGTAGTTTATCTTGCTCCTGGAAGAGGAACTGCAGTGCAAAAATGTATTTTTCAGTTGGTTAAAGTCCAGTCTAAATACTCACCAAGTTTTATACCTCTCTTGCAGGTAAAGAAGTAAAAAAGGGCAGTGATAAGCTTGTAAGTTGTGCATCTGGTTTTCTTTTGTTGTTCTAAGTATTCTTGAGAAGCAGAATATATGCCTTTAGGCAATGCTAGAGTTCTCCTACCACTAGGAGTTAGTCAGTCAGTGTAAAGTGGCACCAAATTCTCACCTGGAACCATCCAAGGGAGAGAAGTTCTTGTGGTAGTTCTGCTGGGCCTGGAAAGCAGTCTTGTATCAGGACCTAAGAGCCTGCTGCCTTGAGTTCCCCGGATTTTCTGCCAGCCTGAGTGAGCTGTCCAGTCTTTTCTCACTGGAAGAATCTGTGAGGTTGATATTGCTGAGTAATTTAGTTCCCCAGGTACTGTGTTGTAAACAGCAAAGTTATGCTTATTTGAGGAGTTTTTGTGTAATGAGAGCTCAGGGTAGGTTTATTTTCAATATAGGTAAGTGTCTGAAGTGAATTAAAGAAGAATAATTCAAATCCAAATTTCCCCAAAGAAGTGTCCAGATTCCCCTACGGATTTTTTTTCTACCTCTGCATTCCTGCTACTTACATTCCTTGGCAGTCCTCTGAAAATGGAGGAAATAAGATATCCTAGAAAGAAATACTTTGTTTAAAACGGTTGAGCATAATTCTCTGGCTGACCTGCCAGTGCTTGCTTCTTCAGTCCTGAATCCTTTTTTGGTTTTCAGTGTATAAGCAGGGACAATTTTTGCAAAATATGAATGTACATTAACTATGAATTTTGTTCTAAAATAGAAAAGTCAAAATCAATTGTTATCAATACCCAGTTTGCAATGTTTTGAAGGTCAGGAGAAGAAACGAAGTGTCAGAAAGTACTGCAACGAAAGAAGCAGTGAAGAGGAGAAGAGTGGAAGTCAGAGATGATATCTCATGCCCACAATCATGTATGGACAGGTCAGTTGACTCCAAAAGAGTCTCCCAGGACACATATTAATATTTTTAATGTCTCTTGTACCTTCTTCATGTTTCATTTCTGTGCAATCCTTTGCCCCATTTTTCTTCTTCCTTTTCTTCCTTGGGTAACACAATCTAAGCATCGTTGCTTATATTGGGAAGAAAGTGGTCCTGTACTTTCCAAGTTCCCATACCATTCACCAAAGCTCTGCCTGTTTAATTCCTCTGTGTTCACATCACCTTTTGAGTCACAGTGAGGTGATAGCTCAGCAGCCAGACAGAACAGTGCACTGACTTGCACACCTGAGTTTAGGACAGCAAGGGAAGAACTGGAACCAGTTTTCCACCTGCCTCCCAGCCTGCTCCATTGAGCCAGCTGATGAATTCTGCCCTCTTGGCTCAAGGCTGATGGCAAAACACCTTGGAACTTGCTCTTTTCCAACTGCTTTAAAGTCTCGAGAAATTGCATATGTTGTGTGTACACAGGAGTATTCTCCCACAACTTCACCATGTGTTTCTTCTGTAGCTATACTTCTCATGGTGATTCCCAAGTAGATCTCTAGCTTTGGATTTTACAGAATGGTTGAGGTTGGACAGGTCCTTTGATACCATCGAGTTCAAGCCCTCCTGCTCAAGCAGGGTCACCCAAAGCAATTTCCCTCAGGTCTTGAGTAGACTCTGAGGGTGGAACCACCACAACTGTGAGAGAGAGCCACTTGCAGTGTATGACCACAGTTCTAGTCAAAAAGGTTTTTCTTGTGTTCAAATTTAATTCCATGTTTTGCAGTCTGTGCCTTTTTCCTCTTGTCTGCCAGAAGACAAGAGGGTTGAAGAGAGCCTGGCTCTCTGTTCTTCATTCCCTCCTATCAGGTGTACATTGGTAAGATCCCACCTAAGCCTTCTCCAGGCTAAACAGCCTCATCTCTCAAAGCCTCAGTTTACCCCGGTGAGTCCCAGTCATGTACTGGGGTTTCTGCTCCAGACTGGGACAGAGGTGCCTCAGCAGCCTTGAGCAGAGGGCAGAGATCACTGCTTGAGGACAGTGATTTGGCAGAGCTCTGCCTAATTCAGCTCAGGGTGTTGTTGGACACCTTCAGTGTGGGGGTACAGAACTGGCTCTTGGCTAACCTTGGGCTTAGTTCTTGACTACCTCTCAGAGACCCAGTGTTATTTTCAGGCTGGCAGGCTTCTTTTATTTTTTTTAAAAGAAGAAAATGTATACCTGTATTGGATCCTGTCGTGGTTTTAAACCACTAACTAAGAAAATTACTTACTTCTTGTTGTGAGATATGGATTAGAATAAGAGCAAAACAGACATACAACTTAAAAGGGAAAAAAAAAAAAAAAAAAAAAGTTTATTGACAAACCACAATAATAAGAACACCAGAATAAACTTCCAGAAAAACCTTTCTATCCCCTATCTACCCACTATTCTCTTGTTCACATGACAACAGAGATAAAAACTCTGGAACTCTGATGGTTAAAACAGTCCCAATTCTTGCTAGTCTTTTTACCAATTTTTATAGAGAAACAGAAGTTTCTTCCTGTTAATTTATGGAGTTTTTCAC